ATACGGACGGTCTACTGGACGCAGGAATACGGACCGTAACATCATTAAAATAGGGCCGTATACGGCCGTATTTTCACAATATACGGCCCGTAAACGGTACCGTTTCTGGGCACAGTAATACGGGGTCGTATACTGTGAAAATACGGCCGTATACGGCCCTATTTTAATGATGTTACGGTCCGTATTCCTGCGTCCAGTAGACGGTTCGTAACGGATATCCGTTTTGCTCGACCTGGGAATATATCACTTTAGTAGTGTTTTACCTCCTCTTTATTCATCGTTTCACTTGTTGTTGATTGTTGTTCTGTCTGATGTTTACCATTTTCGGCACGTGAAAATGTGTATAATCGATTACGTGACGTTGAAATATTATTACTTTCATTATTGTTATTCATATTATCGTCCTTTTCATTTTGTGTAGAATAGGACAATAGAATAAATTCATCGTTCATATCATTCTCATCAAGCTCTCTTAAGCAATCTTCATCCGATATTTCTCTTAGATCACAATTATCATTAACAACGGTAGCATTTAATAGTTTATTTTGTGGAGGAGAATTAGATAAATTTAGTTCCGGTATCACATGTTTATGAAACGTAGCATTATTGCCGTACTGTATAGTCTTAATTACTTCATTTGTCATACGTTGAGCTAAATCACTAGCATATTGAATCGTCGTATCTGTAGATGATCTCTGAGATTGAATTTCTTCATTTGTATCAACAGACGTTGTCAAAGATTTGTTTTTACTATTTTCCTGTTCACCATATGTTGTGTCATGGTCGAAAGGTGGTGAAATTGTTTTAGATACTTTTTTTACATCAATATTTTGATCCGTAGACATATTTTGTGTCGGTATTTGTTTGGCATTAAAATTAATATTGTTCGTAGATATTTTTACAGACGATGTTACGTTGTTATTATCGTCATTAGTTGTTTTATTCGTTTTTGACAATGTTATTATCCTTGAGTTTTCTTGTTGTTGATTTACATTATTATTTTGTATACCATCATCATTTGTACTGTTACTTAAAGATGCTGATGGTGATAATGCTGTTAAGGGTTTATGATTCGGTTCATCAGTTTGATCTTCATCGTCTGTTATTTCTTCTAATACAATATTGTTGTAATCACGATTCGTAGAACTAGAATAAAAACAAATGTAAATACGATGTTATACATTCATATGCAAAGATTGTGAGAACACACTACACGATTATTGTTTTGAAGGAAAAAAGAAAATATGCCATAGACACAGTTTTATCCTTTATCTCTTCAGTATCTCGTAATGCCTCACACAAGAACTGTTATGTTCGATTTAGTATAGTTAAAAAACTAATTAGGGTAGAATGACATATCAAATTTTAATTGTCATTCTATACGTGTCTAATTTTTGAATAAAGTTAAATTATTTTTGTTATAATAGTGTAAAAAGAATCAAGCTTTTACACTTATTAAAAAACAGCAGCTCATGCTTTTAGTTAGCTTAAGAATCTAAAATGTTTCTTACCTCATATTAATAGTGTGTTTAGATGAGAAAAAAAAACTACTACAAGACGTGACACTGTCAAAAATTATTTTGTCAATAAATCAAGAGATGAACTATGCCGGTCTCTTATCTTCGATATTTCTTTTTATTTATGCGTGCCAGAAAAATAGAAGGAAAGCAACAAATTAATAACATCTATATCTATTATGACTTTTTTTTTCTTTCCGTATAAATACATTCTAAAAAAACAATCGTGCCATTTAGAATACATCTACCTCTCTCAATGTTTTATTCGTCCGTAATATATTGTAGTGGCTTTCAAATACTTCTCTTCTTTTCATAATACAAATTAACTGTAATTTCTTATTAGCTTGAAGAAGAACATGCCTATGACAGAAGAATGCGTTCGTAAAAATAAAACGCGTTCGTCTATTAATAAGATGTCCTTTTCAAGTCAATAGTTGAAGTCATACACATACACATACATACACTATCAGAACTTATTCGATACTTTCTTTTGGTGTCATCTTGCAGCAGAAAATGGAAGTTTATAACAATCAAACGAAAAAAAGTGTTTCTTTTCTGTTTTTTTGTTATAATACTTCAAATACGTCTAATAACACAGTAATTCGAGAAAATATTTTTATTCAATTGATTTTGATTTTTTGCGCTAGTCACGTCAATTACTATGATAAAAAATATTTTATCGTAATAGAAATATCTTGTATAATTGCTGATGTAACCTTGCGTTCTACTCTAATTCAAAATTCATTGTTTTCTTCACTATATTAAGCGGCTATAAAATATGTTCACTTATATCAAAATAGTTCCACTCATTGTGAATCCAAATTATTACTCTTTATTTATTATTCTACTATTTTTGCATAATTGTTCGATAAGTTTAAACTGTCAATAGATTTATTATCTTGTCGATTTATAATACGTACCTCAACATTGTCACATTCTCGTTGATAGAACCACTAATTATTTGATTGTCATTCTAAAAGGTGCAGTATTAGTATAATAAGGTCATATCGCACATGTGATTTATTTGTTGTTTTTTGTTGTTTTTTATCATCGAAAAATCAAAAAATGTTTTTTTTATTCGTTTTATACTTATTCTTTGTTGCAGAATATAAAAACACATACAGAAAAGGAAAGAAAAGATACAGACCTTGTCTATAAGTGCATTGTTACTTCTTCTTATTTTGGTTAATTTTTTTCCTACATCGATCTCGAGAGCATCATCGTAGCCATCAATTGAAGTCGGTATATGATTGTCTAATAAAACATATAAAAGTACAACAAGAATATAATATAAAACATAAAAAGGCGTAAATATTACACGTTCTTTTAAGAAATATGTTAATTAAACCTGAATTTACATAACTACATGCAATCCTTTATAAGCGATGGAGTCAAATTTTCAAATAGAGACTGTCTGATTTTTTTTTTGTCGCACGTGTCATAGTACTGAAAAGGCGCAACTCTACCACATACAGCGCGTGCAAACCGTGAGTTTGATCTCACGAATAAATGTTGAAAAGATAGAAAATATGTTTTTTTTAGGTGAAATTTCTTGTGTTTTGTTTTCACAATGTTTAGCAGGAAGATAAAACTCATATTGATCATGGGAATAAGCGATCACCTATAGCTTGTGATAATACCAACAAAATGCCCAGACTTACCAAAAAAACGATCGTTTTCCATTTTAGGAATTTAGAAAATATTGAGGATATAAGAAAGTCCTGATATCATACCTTCAGGTGTTAATATTGAATTATATTTCATCTGCTGATCAATAGTTTCAACGTGTTTGGAATTCTTATCTACTGTTTTATCATGAGAGACCTTTTTCTGATCGATTCTCCATTGATGAATTCTTTCTCTTTCTGTTGTATTTGTATCTTGGAATAGTTCTATCAAAGCTTCATGGTTGTGATTGTTGTTCAAATGCCTATCGGGTGGTTGTAGTATGTTATCTCTTGCTTCCTTTACGTCTAAAAAACATAGAAGATTTTGTATAAAATTCAAGCGTTTTTAACTATAAGCAAAATTATTGTACTCATGCATTCTTTTATACTGCTAAGTTACCGATGAATCCTTGCACTAAAATGATACTGAGAACGGACGTAGAATAGTTGAGTCTTGGATTTATTTTTCAGAGGTTATTAATATTATCGCATATGATGAGCCACTTCCTGTTTGCTATTAGGAGGACTAACTAAATCAATAATGACTTTAGGCAATGTTTGATTCTGACTTTGTAGATGGTGATTAAATAAGCTGCTAAGAATGGGAAATGGTGTGATTGTTACATTTAGTGAATTTTTTCGTTTATGCTAGATAAATATCAATATTGTTAAGGAATTTTCTCTATTAACTTTGAAAATTTTACGAACGAGATTATTTGAATTAGTTTTAGTAGAAGTAATAGGAAGGCAGTTAATAACACAGACGTTTCTATTTGATTAATACATAAAGAGGGTTGCGAGAATTAATGGAAAAAAATGATTTATGTGCACAGGGTTACAGAAAAGTGTACAGGAAAAGGCAGTAGCATGCACAGATTTTCAACGAATAAAAGATAATTTTGTTTTACACGTAGACGATCTAAAGATATAGGATGATCTATGGACAGATGTCTCGTTTAATACAAATGTCTATTTTTCTTCTAACTTATTGAGTCGTTAGAATGTATGATAAATTTTGTACAGTAGTAATCAAAGATTTTAGTCATTATCATTATTCGAAAAGAATACATCATCAATTATCGATAAATCCGTCTGATACATTATCTTTTTGAGAACTAAGTCAACTGATCTCACATACTCTTGGAATACACTCTTAAATCTTTTTTCTTTGCGTAAAAAATCATATCAGGACTCTTGTAAACAAAATTTGTACAACATATTTGTAAACATGCAGTAGGATGTCTAATTAATCTTTATCCTTATGTTATAACTGATCTAGCTAAATTACATTTTTGTTAGAGAAATGACGTAGACATTCAAAATAGCAAGAAGGCATTAAGTTGATCATACGTTGGAGATATGATGGTGACGACTGAAGCAGTATTTCAACACCTCACTACCGCTTGTAACTATCCTCACTATATTTTTTAATTCTATGTTGTTCACGCTCATACTCATTAGTTTTTATTTGCATATTTTGAATCGACGCATATTAGTCTTAATTTTGTCTTTCTCCCATGTACTTTTTCTGTAACCGCTTAGAAAAAAGTAGTAAGATTCTTTTAATGAACAGAAAATAACAAAGTCTACGTAAAAAAATCTTCGCTCAAATAAATGGGAAACGATGGGAAATTACTAAGTATTGAATCGACAACAGCTAAACATTCATCATTATATATGTTTAATAAAAAATGATTAGAGTAAAAAAGAAAGAGTTTATTCAAAATTCTTATAAGGAAACATTTCCACGTGCCCCGCTCCGATTTCATTCGTTCATACATCATTCGATAGGGGCTCTCGAGTAGGTAAAAAGCCTAAAAGGATATCGGTCGATGACTCTTTAAGACCCGGTTTTCTGGAAACCAGTTTTTCAGAAGCCCTGACAGAATAACCAAAACCTCTGTTAATGAGGCATGATTGTAGCCCGCGAAATCTCATCAAAATGAGACATCTCCCGGCTCTACATGACCTTTCTTTGCAAAGTTATAGAATTTGCAAGAAAAGCCCTAAATTAATTTCTTCTGATTTCTGCAGCTTTGAGCTGACAATGAACATTTAGAAATTTTCTTGCAAATTCTATAACTTTGCAAAGAAAGGTCATGTAGAGCCGAAAGATGTCTCATTTTGATGAGAATTTCGCGAGCTACAATCATGCCTTATTAACAAAGGTTTTGGTTATTCTGTTAGGATTTCTGAAAAACTGGTTTCCAGAAAATCGGGTCTTAAAGAGTCATCGACCGATATCATTTTAGGTTTTTTACCTACTCGAGACCCCCTATCGAATGATGTATGAACGAATGACAGCGGAGCGGGGCACCTGGGAATGTTTCCTCGTTAGGTAAATCATCATCAACATTGTTAATCATTTCTCTGAATACTATTTCACCATTATTTTCTCATTATGATGTTGCTGCAAAATTTTATTACTACAAGTATCCTTAATACTTATAGTTAAAAAATCGATTTCTTGAAATACGCTGATATATCAAAAAAAATGTTTACACTATTTCAGTTCACCTGTCCCATTCCTTTTATTTATGTCTCATATATCCTTGTTATCAATGATATATAATAGCCAAGTTGAATATACTAACATTTTTCATAATGGTTATTTTGATGATGATTGCCTATATCCGGTACGAAGTATACCAGTTATTCACCCAGGTTCTCAACCATCCACTCTAATGCAAAATGAAAAAATTTAATGTTTAACATAGAATACGTTTGAGTAATACACATTACTCAACTTATTTCAAATGTTCTCGTTGATACTACGATATTTCTCATTTTCTATCGTGTATTATAAAACTATATGAAATCACGTTCAATTAATTGTCGGATATCCGTCATTTGTTATTTATTGTCGTTAATTGATGGCGACACAGTAGTGTCGACATAACATAAAAGTTTTTGTGAAAACATTATAATCTTTTCTTTTAATGTTATACGTGATGTTGATATCGTAAGCATAGTATGATAATTAACACAGCTGCTGACACTATTAATTTTTTCTTTTCATACAGTTAAACTGTCTAATTCAACTGGAACGTCACCGATTCACATTTTGTTTTCTACTGAAAAACTTGGTATTTTTCTTTTTTGGCTAATTTATCCCAGCAATAATGAGCAATACTAATTTTTTAATGAAATTAATGAATCTCGTACAACTAGACGGACTTTATACAATGAAGTGTCGTTAAACAAAGAATTATAATCTTTGTAAAAATTATGATTATTTTTAGTATCAAAACAGATATCTTAAAGAATTCTCATTTCATTTTTCTTATTTTATATCTCGTGTATACTGTACAGCATTATAAAATGAGCATATTGATTCATATACATTTGAAATTGACATGTTACAAATATATTTTGTCCCTGAACGAAAACTGGTCATGAGACAGAATGATTTTTATTGTTTTCAATTAAATACATTCTTGTCGTCTTCTTGTACTTAGTTGGTATTATTGGTGATGTTTTTATCAAATTCATTCAACCGAGTATTGATATAATTTTTGTTTATTCAAACGTATTAGCTATTATTGTTCGTATATTTCACTCGCCTTCCATTTCAAATTACATTCATTTTGTTTTTAAAAGTACATATAATACTGATCATGTTTCGCTCTAGATCTAGCTTTACGTTTTAATCATAATCTATTTCTAACTTATAAGATCTGTCTAGTATATGTGTCATTGACTTAAAAAATACGTTAAAATGCGTTCAATTATTAATTCTTAATAAAACATGAGAAAAAGCTGAAAAAATAATCTCGTCGGTTATTCTAGCAATAATTTCTAATTTATCTACTAATGACTATATAAAATGATCAAAGGACATCGTTTATATCGGAATCACTAAATGATCTTTTACAAATGTTCTCATTGCTTGATAATAGTAGACTGTTCTGGATCAGATTTGATTGTAATAAATCATTCTGTATTGTATGATGAGATTTTTCTACATCAACAAGAACTGTATATTAGACGTTTTCATGAAGATTGAGTCGGCTTGACTCTTCAATTATTTTACTGTCTTCATGTGTATGATAATCTTTTTTATTCTGTAAATGTTCATTTGTTCACATTATTTGTCTATTTTTTCTGATATTACTTACTATAGGCATCAATGCAATTTGCTGACAGTTAAATTACCACATTGATACTTATAATTAAGTCAATTGAGTGGAAAAAAAGGAACTGTACTTCGGTACACAATGCCTTTGATCTTGATTAACTTATTGTGTAATGTAACGGCAGCTCTATATTTTTCATTTAAAAAAAAAATCTACTTTCTTTTCACTCTTCTACACACATTTTTCTCTATTATAACATCTACTAATTCTTCGTTATTCTTGATCCGATAGATTGACTTTAGAGTAAAGATCGTTTGATTTTTTAACAGCTGTAGATCAATGATCTAAAGTTAGATTTTCAATACATGCCTCGATCGGTTTACACATGATTAGGGTCGACAGATGATCATATCTACAAGAATTTTTGTGTTTTTCTTTTATACGATAAATAGTAACCACATGATACTACACACTATATACATTGTACAGTATATACAGAATATAATGCTAAACTCTAAAATATAATAAACTAGTTCGAGTGAAAAATGTTTGTTGTTAATCCATGGCACCGTATAATTCGCCGTGTTAATAAGCACATAATTTAGGTTAGTGAAGGTCTATTTTTAAATAAAAAGTCTTTTTCTCATTAGTATAATGTTAACAACTCAAATTTCACGTGTTCTATAATGAAAAGTTCATCATTTGACATTGATTTATACATCAAATGGTCAACATATATTTTAGATCGATAGACAACTAGTTTATTTCTTTTTATTTTTTGATGTAAAAGGATATCTGATGAGATTGTTAACATTAACCATATGTTCAGTTCAAAATGATAATGATGATGAACAAGAATGTTCAACTATAAATGGCTGCTTTTTTTAGAGAAAAAATAAGAATATCAGTAGTAATACCGGAGTAATTTCTCTTTTCATAAAAGAGAACTCATTGTATGAATGTTTATTTTAGGATGTATGCAATGTATGCATCCATTCATAGATCAACATAACAGACAAAAAAGATCGCTGAGAATACAATAGAAGCAAGAAACATATATACAGTTTTTTAATTAGAATACCAAAATCAAACTGTAGAAGAACAAATCTAGTGTAAATGTAATCCAATGATTATTCCTCAGACATCTGTTGAAAGAGCTTCACAGTAGATCAGATCCAATGTTGACTATACAAATATTATTGACATACACAATCTCTCAGTCTTTCGTAATCTCTAACATCTATTGACGTTCAAATGAATAAACAAGAAAATGGTTTATATCTTACCATTTTAGCTATCTATTTAAATCTATTTTAGTGCCTTCATTTCAACTTAGTAGTATCGTCAAACAACAATGTTAATCGCTGTTCTATTCTTTTGTCTCTCGTCTGGTGTCTCTTTTATTGATGATAATTCGACATACATGTTCATTCTTTCTTTTAAATGTATTATAATCAAAAGTTTATTTCAAACCATCAGTTCAAATAAAATTCATAACTACGATCATCTGTCGATAGAAAAAATGAATTACATTCACCTATTTGAATATGACAAAATGTTTTAATTGCATGTTCGATATTTTAATACAGTCATCTCAACTTAACCCGAATTTACAATCAGATAAACACCATAGGTTTAAGTTTCGAAAGTACATAGAGATTACTCAATATGATACTACATCCACAATCATTGATAATTGAAGATATATACAATAAGTTCTGAATATTATAGAGGATTGATAACAAAAAAGGTATCTCAATTTGTTTTTATACATCCATCATTCATGAGTAATAAAAATAGAATCTATATGACCTTAAATTCTCTCACCTTTGGTTATAAATTCAACTGGTTTATACCATTTTGATGTTTTTGAAACCCGTTCAATACCCGGTTCATATTTATGCCGTTGATGTAGTGCTATTGTCATTAATGTTGGTAGTGTTGTAGCTGAACGATGAGGCATGAGTGATAACGTATTTCCACCATTACAAACAGTATGATGCCATGAATGTACAGAGGGTGATGGTGATGTTGCCGATGATCGATAAGATTTATAACTACTCGCATATCGTCGCCGACCATGAGGTGAATAATTAATTAATTGATTTTCATCTTGATTATTTTGATCTAATTGAGATATTGTCGATGATTTTATTTCATATTGATGTTTTTTCTTATTATTAACACGTCTAGATTCAATATCAATAATCGAATCATTATACCAATTAGGTACCGTTAATTTTTCTAACGATTTTTGAAATCGTTCTTCATGTTCCATATTTGTTCCTATAACTTTTTTTGTTGTTCTGTCATTGTTTCGACGATATGGTTTCAAACTGTTATTATAATCGTTGCGATGATAACAACAATGTAAAATTTCATCGTCACATTGTTTGTTTAATTCATCAAATACTGTCAAATCGTGCTTTTTTTTGTCATAATCAATATGTTGTATATCTAAAGTAATAATAGCCAAATGAAAATAAAGGCTTAACAAAGAGAGAGAAAAAAGAATAATATCTATTAAATATACATCGGTAAATATAATAGACTGTCATGTGTAAAATAAAGACACTTTATAATGGGTTATCATGCATGAAGGTTAACGACGGTGAAGAGCGTAGAACAAAAGAAAATTTTATTTAAAAAAATACTCTTTGTTATATTATATATTTTGTCGTCGAAGCTATCGTATTAATATCACTAGTTAGTTATAATTTTTTTGACTGACACAATTCAGTTTTCTGATTAATAATAGATTTATTACCATTACATACTGATATCTACCATTTTCCAATGAGTATTTATAATGTCATATTACCTGATCATAGTATCTGGAAAACCTTCTACAGATACTGTTCTAATCTAATTCAATATATTTCAAATCTCTCCTATTGAACAGATGCTTTTTCTTTCCCTCTTACCTATTAGTGATTCATTGCTTGAATAATTTAACCATAAAGGATCTATAAAACCATCGTTGACTTCCTTATCAGTAAATATTGTTTGAACAATTTGACCATGACCGAGAGACTGATCTAAACAAAAATAAATTTTTCTAACTCATCAAAGCATTTTTTGAATGATATAATACATATGGACACCAGTATGCAATTTGTGAGTACTATAGGCTAAATAATGATGGGATCGAATGAATGAATGAATGAATGTCTTCTCTCTCTACATACACAAATGATAAGAACGAAACATTATCTCGTTATATGAAAAAGAAGGAAAAGATCCTTCTTTTTTTTTGTGACTGACTTTGTTCCGTCCTAGCTATATGTTTATATTCTAATCTTTCATCCGTCCTGTTCAGGAAAATTATAATAAGTGTGTATATGTTATATATAATATTTGAGAGTTTTGTAAAGCACATCATAGATGACCACACTAATAGTCTGCGGATGGTTCGTTTGCTCTTTTTAGGTTTATTTATTTCTATTTTATTGTTCTAACATAGAACTCTGATACATCTTTTTATAATTACAATATGCATATGAGGGTATCGATATCATTGAACACTAATCGCTTCTCGATTTACAAAATTTATCTACACATTAGTCAAAGTTTACAAGAAAGAAGCTTAGCTCAACAATAGAATTTCCTATATATCGTCTAGAATATTTATCGACACATGGCTATAAGTTGCAGTACTTTAATCGACTTGTCTACATGAAACAATAGATGGATTCTTGAATAAGCATCCTACAATTAAAATTTTGTAATGCTTGTGATTGTAATTCTCCACAATTCAGATTGCAATATATAAAGATGTATTAGTACAGTAAGTACTTTAATTGATTGCAAGTATAGGTGATGCTGATCTCTTCGACAAAATTTACTCTATTCGTTTAAAAACTTTTTGTTTATTTTCTACAATTGTAAATTTATCACGATTTATTCTTAATAATGTTATAATAATATTCAATGATAGTAGACTTCATTTAATTAGTAAACTACACCCATTCAATCGAGATATTAAACTAACTTTTTAATCTATGATACATTAATCCTACTGGATTTTACTTGTAAAGTGTAAGGCATAAATTAAAGAAAATCTTTTCCTTGTTATTCTATTTTTCTAAGAGAAAATGTGATATCTAGTTTAGAATTCATCTAAAGAGTATACTACTCAGATTGTCTACGAGATATTGTGTTAAATTAACGTAGACTGTTTTGGTTTAGGATAGAATAAATTCTCAATGAAGCAAAAGTATGCGTACAGCTATGTTATATAAAAGTCATTCTAAAAATAACATATTTGAAGACTGGAGAACAGATGCAATAAAGAGTATGCACTTTTAGATATAAGAATAAGAAAACGTTAGAAATCATGGATTTTCAATTTAAATGTTTTAAATAATTTGAAGAATTTAAAAGATGGAATAATTTTAAAAATGTTCAGAGAGAAGTTCATTGTATTCATGTTGTATTAGAAAAAGTTGAAAACAAATTAAAATTGCTATAATTAAAATATAATGTGAAGAAAGCTGTTTAGTTTTTCTTACTCTTTCACATGAACAGACTACTAAAACTTCACTCTCAACATTTTTAAAATTATTCCAACTTTTAAATTCTTCAAATTATTTAAAACATTTAAATTGAAAATCCATGATTTCTAACTTTTTCTTATCCAAGCAAAAATGACCTCATTTTTTTGGGTTATTTATCTAGATTCAGTTCCACGTGCATCTAGATGTACGTGGAGCTGAATCTAGATGAAGAACCCAAATAATTTGGTCGTTTTTGCTTAAGTTCTTATATCTAAAAGTGCATACTCTTCATTACACCTGTTCTTCAGTCTTCAAATATGTTATTTTTAGAATGACTTTTATATAACATAGCTGTACACGTACTTTTGCTTCATTGAGAATATATTCTATACTAGACCAAAACAGTCTACGTTAATTTAACACAATATCTTATAGACATGCCTGAGTACTATACTCTTTAGAAGAATTCTAAATCAGATATCACATTTTCTCTTAGAGAAATAGAACAACATAGAAAAGATTTTCTTTAATTTGTGTTTTCCAATCCAAATGTTTTTGATGTTACAATGAGAAAAGTTCCCCACGTACTTGTATAATTATCGGTCATTTTCTCCATATTGGACGAATAAGATGTATTGATAATTATCCTGTCATATACATGTTGCAAGTTAAACTACGTTCTTTCCTCTTGTAAATATATATAGTATAACAGATGATGTTCGAATAAGATTGTCTCATAGAACTGAAAATAACTGGAGTATGTCAAGACATCGACGAAAAAATGGTTTTATTAAGGACAGTGTATCATTGTTATGTGTATGTTGAAGGTTAAACCAATGACTATCTATAACTAGCTAGAAAATAGCAAATGACATTGTGGGAATACTGATAAATACGTTTCCTTCTTATACACGATCATTAGATTAGAATTTTTTTGTAACAAAAAGAAGACGAGAAAGGAGTATCTGTCAAGACTATAGATCTCTCTTTCCGTCTTTTTAAGGCTCATCAACTATCTTATTTCCATCAAAAAATCTCTAATCATGTTATCTAAATGATTGGAAAAAAATAATATTAACGACGAAAAGAAGAAAAAAATCTAAAAATTTGATTTCTTATTTTTCTCTTGTTTTCTCTAGAATAATCAAAAGAATAATGTCGTTGTCGATCAAAATATTGTTTAGGAATAATTTAATTTTGATGTTTTCTTGTTTGAATCGAAGAAAAATAGTTACTTATTAAATCGAAGGCGCAGGAAAGAGCAATATAACACTTTTCTTTGGTCAATGATATCAATCAACTGGAAAACTATGTGACACATATATATTCATGTGACACACTTGAATATCAGATCTTCAGGATTTTTGATGCATCAGCTAAGAGTTTATATTTATTTCTACAAAATTAGCATAATCAATGTGAAAAAAGTAAGACAATTTAATGTATAACACAGCTGTACAAAATTTATGCATGTAAAAAGATAACTTAATCACGAGTGAAAACTACTTTGCATTGCTCTAATTGATCAATTGTGGCCGCATTATAACCCAATTCAGTTAATATTTCTCTTGTATGTTGACCTTTTTCTGGAGTGGGCAATTTGATTGCCCAGGACGTTCGACTTAATGTAACTGGCTGACCAAGAAGTTCTATTTGACCTCGAGTCGGATGATTCAGTGGTGTTGCGATTCCAATATGTTTCACTTGGGGATCTTCGAACACTTCGTTCATCGCGTAAATCGGTCCACTAGATACGCCGGCAGCATTCAAAACCTCAATCCATTCTGCTGACGTTTTTGTTTTTGTTATTTCATTCAGTTCCATATTCAGTTTATCTCGATTTTTCAAGCGATCTTGTTCCGTCAAATAATCAGTATTCGATGATAAATGTTCATGTCCAATGGCTTTACATAAACGTCGATACATTTCTTGATTCGATGCTGCTATATTAATTAATCCATCGAGAGTTTTAAATACACCGGTTGGAATCGTCGTTGGGTGATTATTACCAACTTGCTTAGGTGTTTCGCCATCTATCAAATATCGTGCAGCTTGTAGATCAAGCATAAATATCTGAGATGCTAATAATGATGTCTGTACCCATTGGCCATTACCAGACACTTCCCGCTCAAGTAATGCCGTTAGAATACCATTTGCACACAGAATACCGGACGATAAATCAGCAAGGGGAATTCCAACTCTCAATGGCCCTTGTTCTGGCTCTCCAGTAATGCCCATTAAACCTCCCATACCTGAAACATAAAAGTGTAGCGTTTGGTAAATAATGTAGTATTATACGTCTACCTTGTGCAACTTGATCATATCCAGGTCGATTGGCATAAGGTCCGTCTTGTCCAAAACCTGATATACTCGCATAAACTAAACGTGGATTAATTTTCCGTAAAGATTCATAATCAATACCAAGTCGATATTTTACAGAAGGACGATAATTTTCAATAAGTACGTCAGCATTTTTCACAAGAGATTTGAGTATTTCAAGTCCTTCAGGTTGTTTCAAATTTAACGTTATACTACGTTTGTTTCTATGCATATTTTGAAAATCGCCTTTGTGTCGTATGTTATCATCTTCTCCTGGCATTTCAACATTAATTACCTGTGCACCAAAATCAGCGAGTTGTCGCACGGCCGTTGGACCTGCGCGTTCGCGCGTTAAATCAATAACTATAAAACGAGCCAATGGTTGAATCTTATTTTTATTGTAGTTAACATGATCTTCATTAGTGATCTTTGTGCTATCACCATCCATCTCTTAGATTCAATAACAAGATTAGAACTATTATAGTCTAGAAAAAATGTGACAAAATACATTACATATCTACATTAACATCAAATCGTAAAAGATAATTCAAGGTCTTTTCAAGGTAATAAAAGTTTGAGTGAAAAAAATTGCATCAGAGTACAGCTGAATAAAACATCAATCCACTACTTATCACTGTTTCTCAAGGCTATATCAATGAAGTTAGGAAGATATATAACAGGTGAATGTGACTTATCAGTTAATTTGAAAAGATGATAACAACGTTCCAGTTCTGCACAATGAAAGGGTCAAAAATTGCTTTTTATTCTTTCTTGCACAATAACATCAGACAACTAACAAAATTTAATTTTCAGTTCAAAAAAATTTTTTTGTCATACAAAAATGAAAATATTTTTTTTTCTCTTTGAGAATTTTTTTTTCTGTATATATTATGATTAGCTGTTCTATGAACGTAACATTGGTCAATTGCATCCCTCACATATAGAAAATCGAACCGCTATTATAGCTCAGTGTATTAGTGTTATTTTATCTACTCATGGTAAAATCTATATAATGTGTGGATAGTTCATTTAAAACGTAGTAAATTACTACCGATGTCAAAGGCGAACCGTTTAACGGTTCTTGCTATTCGACCCGTATAAGAATTGTCGAAATTAGAAGATCGTCTTATATCAGCTCGATTACTGCGAAAATCTTTGGTCATGTTAAAATTGATAAACAACTCAGACTATGAGAAAATGTGGTGAATGTAGCGAAATAAGCTTTACAACTAATATAAATCTTCAACAGTAAAGTACCAAAAAAGAATATCGAACACTGCTGATTTATAAACAAGGTAAAATCTAGATATTTGACGTGAGGATGAAATATGTCTGAATATGACTAAACTAGATGGATTATATAGTGGAACTCCCTTTGTAATTAAATTTTATGATTTGACTATTCGTCTATTACAAGATAAATTTATGTATTAAATTAATTCATGCTCTCTCCCCAAAATCAACTTCGTCAATATTTGCTATTTGCATGTGCCAGAAAACAAAAAGTAACGTGACAGTCGTCTGACGAGGGAACCGATTTAACTGTCAAATCGTTTTTCAATGAGACCTAGTGAATTATAGGTTATCGACTATGCTGATTCCGAATATGACCATGGCAGCTTCCTATAGGTCTCCGGAGATCCAGTTTCTTGGAAAACCAGTTTTTCAGAAACTCTAAAAGAATAACCAAAACCTTTCCCAATGAGACATAATTGTAGCTCGCACATTTCTGATTAAAATAAGACATCTCCCAGCTCTACACGATCTTTCTTTGCAAAGTTATGGAATTTACACAAAAAGCCCTAAATTCATCTTTCCTTCTTCTTTCTGTAGCTTTGAGGCGACAATAAACATTTAGGGCTTTTCTTGTAAATCATATAACTTTGCAAAGAAAGGTCTTGTAGAGCTGGGAGATGTCCCATTTTAATCAGAAATGCTACAAGTATGCCTTATTAAGAAAGGCTACGGTTATTTTTTAGAGTTTCTGAAAAACTGGTTTTCCAGGAAACCGGATCTTTGGAGACCTATGGGAAGCTGCCATGGTCATATTCGGGATCGGCATAGTCGATAACCTATAATCCACTAGGTCTCATTGAAAAACGATTTGACAGTTAAATCGGTTCCCTTGTGAGTTTATTCTAAAATATCAATTATGAGAAGTAGAGTGGCGATAGAAACTTTTATGGTGTGCCCATTCAGACCCGCCCACAATTACATGGCATAAAAGCCGCAAAAATATCGATACTCCTGTCGTGTAAGGCATAGAAAATTACATAAAATCCTCCAAGTTTCCCATACAAAAATTATAAAAATTGTCATATTAGCCGTAATCACTCTGTCTCTGAAAAGAAACAGATGAAGAACAGAAAGATGGTCTTGTTTTGTTTAGGCGCTTTATCACTGTTTTGAAAGGTAAAACAAATTCGGTTCATTTGCATGTAAAATCTTTGGCTGAAACTTCCGATGATACAAATCATTCATCCATCTTCATCGGTCCTTCAATTAGTCTTCATGACATGAACATTCTGTTAGGGGAATTGAGGGAGTTGTTTATACAAAGTGATTACGCTCAGCAAACTCGGCTACTTACAATATGCTCCTCAAAATGGAGTCAACGGCTTCTGACTGAATATTTTGGCGCTACGGATTGCTAAGCTCGTTCAACTCTGGACATTCACTCAGTACATATCTTCTCGCTATTGATCTCCGTTGTAAGTAAAGACCCCTTCATTCACATTCAAACGTGTTTAATATCTTTGTCTCCATCTTTTTCGAGCAAAATTGTGCGAAAATTTCTGATGTCGCAATAGCCAGAGTTCTGATTTTTACGAAGACAACACTATTAGCCGGTAGTCACCGAATAAAAAAGATACCATCGGTGTTAAACTTTCGAGTGCAAGAAAAGCATGTCGATTTTTTGCTGATGTGTATCTCTGAACCCTATGAGTGATTCAAAAAAACAATACGAAAATGATCCATATGTGAAATAGAACATTTAAAATTTTTTCATTTACGATCTAAATGGATGAAATTCTGTCTTATAATGTTTGTGTGTGTTTTTATCGCGAAAATATCACCCTTTTACTGTAAGCATTTTTTTTTGTATCTAGTTTCCTTTTCCCTCCTTTCATTTTACTTTTATAGGCATTGTCAACGTTGACTGGAAGTCTTCTAATCACATCAGTTGGTTAATTTTAAACCTGCCTGCATGTCTCAATCATGTCAAGTTTGCTCTACACAAACACCGAAGGATTTTTTAATTGAAAAATTTTGTCTGAATCCAAATGATGACGTGAAATGGATGGTGTGAATAAAGTTGGATAGAACAACTGTTATAAAACGAACGGTTATACCTGTTTCTGGTTATATCTATTTGCTAACCTGGTATGAAGATCGATGACAGCATATTTTATGGCATAGCTTTATTACATCATTAACGATTACAGTTAAAAGTTGAAAGAAAATGCATCGTTATCGATTAGAGGGTGGTAAATCACGCCCTCATTTAATACAGTTTTACTCAAGGAATTTCGACTTACACAGAAATTTTTTAAGAAATTTAAGTTGAGAAACTCCCTTTTATGTACCTGAGTCAGTGACTTTCTCTAGCTTCTGAGTAACTCATTTATTTACTGAGAAACTCGCTCTTATGCACCTGAGTAATAAAAAAACTTTAGTTACTCAGCAGCCTCGCCAGCCTCCACCAAAACTACTATCGAAAACACTGAGAAAATGTATCGCCGAATCAAGCTATTTTTCAGCTAGATTTTTTTTCACCGAGAATTTCAAGCTCGATCTGCGAAATGAAGTTCAGAGTGAGCATTAGAGATGTGCAACCCGACCCGAAGATTGGATACGGGTACGAAGTTGTCGGATACGGATAGGGTACGGGAAGAGTAGTTAGGGGTACGTTTTTTTTAATTTTATTTACCCGAAAATCGGAATGTTTCAGTAAAAAACCACAAAATTTTAGTGGAAAAATACAAGATTTTAGCTAAAAACAAAGAAAAAAACTACATAAAGTTTTGAAAAACAGTTGCTTGAGAACATAATGATAATTTGTCATCTTCAGCCGAAAAACAAAAAGAACAAAATTTTTAGGCATAGTTCGGGTACGGATACGAAGTTCGGATCCGGTACGGGTGAAAAAATATTTTTTTCATGAGTTCGAGCCCTTGCCTTCAAGTTTCAAAATAGTTTTGAAGTTTTTGATTATTAGAAAAGAAACAAATAATTCAAGGTCAGTAGTTTTTGTCAGCAATTTGGAATTAGAAGAGTTCAATATAGTGGGAGTACGATGAAAAGTGGTTAGCTCAAGTGATTCAATTGAATCAGCCTACACAAGAGCTATTAGTTATATTTTTTCACCCTCGTGATCCACGAAAATTATTTTCGTCCCCTTCTACATCTGACAAACTTATTATTCCAGACACTTCAGCCGTTGCAGCTTTTCATGAAAGTACTGGACGAGAAAAGCGTGAACTCGCTGTTGCTCAATTCAATGACATAATGAATGTTTCGAATCCTACTAATCAGTCTACACAAGATACTTCTTCGGTTTAATTCTTTTTCCACAAACTGGAATTATTCTGCCTCTATGGATGAAGAGATATACGGTTTCCACAAACGAAAACTTAAAATACAAACGTCTGGTGGTCACATTACAAAAAAACTTAAGTCATCGACTTAAGCCGTGATTTAAGTCTAAGTTTAAGACCGATTTAAGTCTCGAGATTTAAACAGTACTACAAAAAGACTTGAGTTGGTGATTTGTTTACTTTTTGAAAGTCGTTGACAACAGTAACAAACTTGGGACAACAATCCACAAAATAACGAAATATTTATTCTCTAAAGCTTCTTAAAAAGTTCTGTCAACTTCTATCGTCAAATACCTGAGCTATTCGACAAATGCGCCGATGACTTAGGTCCACCTCTATGACTGTATGTCCCATGACTTAAGTTTTTGTAATGGAGTTTGAATCTAACTCGAGGACTCAACTGTGACTTAAGCCTCGATTTAGAGTTAAGTCTGACTTAACAATTTTCGTAATACCATCCTCTGTTTTTTTTCTAATTTATCTCAGCTTTGGCCCTTTTCATCTCTCTGGATATGAATAACTCATAGACTCTCATTGGCCACAAATTGACTAATAAAAATTTGAGACAATGTTTCCATAGAGTTTTTCTCTACAATTACTTTCAACAACTTGTTTTATTTTAGTTATATTAAAAATAATATGGATTATGACCTAAAATCTATTTCTCCTTAACTGAAATTAGTTAAGGAGAAATAGATAGAGCGCTAAAACATGAAAACAGTAATCGATATTTTAGACTTTTGTGATAGGTAAATGAGGATGAAAACGAAGTGGATCAGAAAAATCTTCAGCGCCATTTTGTAGACTACAGATGAGACTAAAATGAAAAACTATAATTGAAGACTTTTTG